TAGATCACAGATATAATCTGTCTTTATCAATGTCTTCTTTAAAATATTGCGAATAACAACATCCCTAAAAATAACCATAATCCTAACCTAATCGAAACCAATTCTAAACCGTTCCCAACCCTAACCCAAAATGCACTCCCCCGTAACGCAAAATTGATGTCGCGAAAATGGTCTCGCAAACAAATATGTGCATTGAGTCCAAAAACATATCCATGTTAAATTAAAAGAACTCGTACTAAAATAACACTAACCACAACCTTGCCCGTCCTTAAACCTAATCACCTCGTATAACCCTAACTTTACCTGACTGAACGTAACCTAACCCGTCGCTAAACCTAATTCTAAGCAACCCTCATTCCTACACCCTCCATATCCTTAACCCTCACTCTAACCTAGCCCAACCCGCGCATGTTCAAAGAAAAGAGCAAAGCCCGACCCTAACATAACCCGAACCCTAACTTTATTTAATCCTTCCCTAACAAAAACCCAACCCTACCTAACTCGTAGTAAACCTTAACCATTACAAACCTAACCTAACTCAGCGGATGCACACTCCGGTAACGCAAAATTGGTGACAAGAAAATAGTCGAACGAACAAAAAATTGGTATAACATCCCAAAAACATACGTGTTACAAGAAAAAAGAACACTCGTAAATCGTAATCAAATATAGAAAAATATATCGATATAATATACACAAAAACCTTTCGTTTCATAAACTAATATTTAAACGTACATGATCTATGGTCTATAACTACCACAGCCTGACCACAGTAGTTACTGTCTACAATTCGCTCTTAGTACGGTAGGAAGTAGATAGTCGTAACGTAAACATTGACCTCCATTGGGACCTGGATATGGATACTGTTATACCAGATAGGACCAAATTTACCATTCTTTACGAACTACGAGCCAGTACAGCTCTTTGATATTGCAGGGTTAGAATGAAGTCTCAAAAGAATCAAGCGGTTTTTAATGGAATAGCTCTTCGAAACTAAAAAAGCTGTTGAATGAGACATTTAGTTTACAGCTTTTTAAAGAAATATTTCACATTAGGTAAACTCATTGACCGCAATATTCGTGAATCCTCTCAAAATAGATCGATAGTAAGTGTAGTCCTTGATCATCCCTGCCCCCGCCTGTTCTCGCTGTATGTTATCAACCGTTGGGCGTCTTAATTTGCTACTTCAGGAGCAAATCTCTTGAAAACTCGTTGTCTGTTAAAAGAATTAAAGGCTGTCGAACGATGAAAAGCGTCTGATGAAAACAGCCAAAACAGGTGTATCAAGATCAAAGTACAAATTGTATAAAATATTAGCACGGGTTAATCCGCGGAGTAAATCTGTAAATCCGAGCGGTTTTAGCGGAAAAAATCTTAGTGAGGACTCAAGAAGTTTTGTCTTCTGAGTAAGAAATGATGAAACTGAATTAGATCAATTGAAAGTAAAAAATGATTCAATCTCACACCCACGCTCGGCTGAATTAAATGACGCAATTCATTTTGTCCGAGATCATTTATCAAATGTCAAAATGGCACGCGGCGGTCAGCCCGTAAAATACTTGGAAGTTTAAATAATTCACATTCTGCCCTCACTTTGTACCTGAATAAACACTTGGTGAAATGAGAACACTGAGACTTAATACCCTTTGTTCCCTGAAATGCTTAGCGTCTGTTGAATTGTTCATTAACAATACTTCATCTCGGCCATTTTACGTCAAACACTTTTTCTTATTGGTGGAGAGGGCGGACAATTCATGAAGTTCTTACAATTAGTCATTGTAAAGGATCCAACGTTCGAAAAACATTTATATTTTTAAAACTTATTATCACGTTCGAATTTTGAGGATAACTAAACAAACGCACTACACAAAACTGCGACAAAGAATACACAACTTACAAAAATAACCACTGAACAGAACTACTTTAAATTGAACAATGACATACACACCCCAAAAGACGGTCAAGGGATGGGGAACGCAACATTAGCCATTCTTACAGAGGTGTTGCTGCAAAATTTCGAAGAGAAATTTCAAAAATAATGGCTGAGAACCGAACACTCCATCTATTTAGATATCTCGACGACTTACTTGCCGTAATAGACAACTTCTCCTCAGCAAACTTTCTTAACGCAGTACCGAAAAACATTACATTGACCTTAAAAACTGAATACAATACAAAAAACAAATCAATTTAAAAAGATTTAACACTCACCACAACCAACAATAAAATCGACTCCCAATTATACAGAAGCCCCACTGCAACCGGCTACACTATAAACGCTCAATTAAAAAATAAATAAATAAAACAAAGATCTAAAAGTAATAGCAACTAGTAATAAAAACCGGATAGAAAACAAGCACCTTCCAGAAACTACTTAAAACAACGAAAAACAAAACACAAATCAACAACAAATGGACAACATTCACTTGCAAAAGAAAAGAAATCTACAGACTAACGAACTAGATCGGCAAACTCGGACTAAAAACAGAACTAAGGACCAACAATAACACAGGTAATCAACTAAAAAGATAACAGACACGACTGACCCGCTAGACAACAGCGGTGTTTATAGCATCAAATGTCAATGCGAAGACATTGGACAGACTGGAAGGAAATTAAGAGATCTATTCAAAGAACATTTTAGATCCTTTAGAGGCAACGACGGGAAATCAAATTACAGCAGTTCCTCACTGAAGATGGGGCAATACCGAAACGCATCTGAATAACTCAACAAACCCGCGAGTGATGACGCCCAATAAGTGACCCTATGCCGGTTCAGCACACGGTTCTTAAACCTAGTGATTGTACAGAATTCCACAGTCGAAAATATTTATTTATAAAACGTATTATCACGTTCGAGTTTTGAAGCCGGATCTTTGAGCACAACCGACTGTTAAAACAACACTGCTAAAACATTGAAATTTGATTTTTCTTTTGAAGACGATTTTCATTCCATGATGAATATTTATTGGAGTAGAGCAAGAACGTCATGAAATAAGGCCTTTTGCACGATTCACTATTCTGCCAACTTCTGACTAAAAATTATTCATAATTAGAAGGTCTGTTTATTAAGTATTCATTTTTTAAGCGAGAAGTAGACAGATGTCGATGTTGGAATCTTAACTGGCAAATACAACATTTTAACATGCAATTAAAAATTAAATTAATTATTAAAACATGCAACACATCGGGCAAAGTTGCATATATTGCGCACTAATGTTAAAAGGTATTTATTTATATCGTACGAAAGCAATTTGAAATATGTGGTTCAATTTAACGTTAATTAGTTAAATGTTCAGAGTGCAATTAATATCGTGACGTCCCACATTTTCGTGGATGAAAACATCACTTCTAGGATGTCTGTTAAACTGTCCTGAACATCCACCTAAACCCCGTTTGAGGTTGTGTCCAACTGAAACAATTACAGAACCAGCATATTAATAATCTATTTGGGTAAAACGTCTGGCTAAAAGTCCACATGGGGTCACGATCATCCGGAAAATTCGAATTGTATAAATGTTTACGTGTAAAGTTAGTCCACCTGCGATGACCTCTGATACGCTTTGTTCCCCGTAATGCTTAGCGTCTGTTGAATTGTTCATTAACTTCTTGGTAGGCCATTTGGAAAATAAATCATGTCTATTTAGATAAAGTTGCGACTTTCCTAGGACTTCTTAAAAGCTCTCTAAACTTACTGAAAGTCAAAAATCAACGACAACGATAGTTTATGATCCTGTTTTTCTGTAAGAATACAGTCGCAATTAATAAACCTGAACATCATTGAAGAGTTATTCGAAGTTATTTTTCTTACAAATCTTGGACATGTAGTGTACAATTTGAATATTTTAAAACATCTTCTACAAACAAAACAATCTGGACATCAAAAGATGGATATATTACTACTAATTACACCACCACCCTGGTATGTTAAAGATCTAGACACATAACAACACAACATAAAGATCTAGATAAACCAGAGGACAATTAGGTACTGCTGACAACCTACAAATAACACCACAAGATACCTTAAGAATGAAAATCCACTCCTCCAATAGTAGTAGCTTTATAGAGGTAGATCTAGTACATCGACGTTTTATACTTTTTAAAAGGTATTTTGTGGAAGGATAAGGACCTGCCTTCCACGACAACCAACCCTTATTTCGGACACAAAACACAATGTGGACACAAAACTATCATACTACTAAGGATTAAAGGGACTGGAGGTCTCGAAGTAATCGTCGTTTGAGGCGACGTGAAAAGTTCATGGGATGGGAGATTGTTAAGGTCGTTATAAATAGTGATGATAGAGATGTATGAAGCAGTTGAAAAATTCTTCTGAGGACGTTTGATTGGAATGCTTGGGATTAAATTTTGGATATTAGATAGCTTGATGGGTTTGTACGTCCAAATAGGTCGACGGTTTTGACAGTGTTAGTTTGTTTTTTACAGTCATGTCTTATTTTGGTTCTGGAAGTATTCGAAGTTGTCCAAGTCGTCTACACACCACACACACACACACACACACACACACACACACACACACACACACACACACACACACACACGTATGTAGATATATATTGTCAGGGTCATGATTAACTCATTGTCACAATATACATATATTCAGTAATTCATTGGTGATAATTCGTGGGCAAGGTCGTTTCTTTACGTAAACAAAATTTGGGCGCATTTTTCATATGAGCTCAAAGTGCTTCTGGATATTGAGGTGGCTTAAGTAGAATTTGAGTCATGAAATAAAGTTGTAAACAGGATAGAACAAAAATGCTCCCTTGTGGGAATCCGGGTTGGATTAGTTTTTGAGAACTCACTGCTGTACCGTATTTTGAAGTAACGATCTGTTAGCTAGGATATTAATGTAGGTAATAAGAAGTGGGTATACATAGCTTTAGTTTGAAAAGAACATCCGGGACACGGTCAAAATCTCGGGTAATGTTTGAAAAGTTTAGAAAGTGAAAAATGATTATGATCTTTGAACATACCTGTCCAAGGCGATAGCGGTGATCGTGCCGGCCGACACCATGATGTTGGCTCCTTGGAGGGCCGGAACGAGTTTGCAAAGGGTCAAACCGAGCGTCCAACGCCTTTTGAGGAGGCTGACCAGGGTGAAGGGCATGCAGACGAGGCAGAGGGCCAGATCCGCCACTGCGAGGTTCACTATGTACATGTTGCGAGGCGAGGGTCCGGCTTGGTGGTGTTTCCTGGCGCACTGCCTTGCGACGACGAAGCAGACCAGCGCGTTGGAGACGACCCCGGAGGTCATCAAGACCGAGTAGACGATTATAATTACGATCTCCGTATCGGGGACGAGCACTTTCTCAGTCCGTTGGTGTTCCTTCAGGATCTCGATCGCCTCGTGGAGGCTGAAGTTGAAAAGCGGATCTGTCGAGACGAGGTTTTCCGTCGAATTGGGTGAATGGTAAAGCCCAGTCATCGAACTCAGCAGTCCGGAGGTGTCAGGCGGAAGCAAATTGAATTCATGCTCCATACCAATTAGGCACAACTCATCACTCTATCAATTTCTGAAAAAAAAAGAACACACAACAAAGTCAGTTATATTCAATAAGAAAAACATACATAGCCATATTTAGTTCAAGTAGTTCAAAAACAGAAAAAAAAAATTTTCAGCCAAATAACTTATAGTACTTTGGTATTACCTAAATGTAGTCTGATTGATTAATTAAGACCTTTTTTAAGACCTCTAAACCTCTATTATTAACCTTTTTTAAATTATAATTCCTGACTATCTTCTGAATATGCGCTAGAAAATGAAAGTACAAATAAACAATGATTTACAACAACCACAAAACAATAAGTGACGTGGTAAAAGATATGGTTTTACGAGAAAAAACCTAGTGTCATAAAACAAGTGAATCATTATTTATGCTATAGTGCGATAACATAAATGTTTTATATATATGTATATNATAAGCTAAAGCGAATGTTCGTATGTGTGTTAATGATGAAAACAAAAACTATTGAACTTATTTCGATGAAATATGAAATTTTCACGCTTTGTTTTTATTAGTGCCGGGTTTAGTGCGTCAGGATTTACACACAAAAAAGAGATATTTAAAGAATTTGTGGCGTCCATGTTTCAGCTGTCAGCTGTTCAGTCGGGGCTTCGGCTCCTAGTATTATACACATTTCCCGCGACTTTCAAATTCCGATTTGGAGGCTGTAACAGTCAATAGACGCAAATAATACGCCAACACTCTATAGTCGCAAAAATTACTGAATCGGTTATAGTTGCAAAACTACTGATACATTATAGATACAAAAACTAAAGAACTGGTTTCGCTGATGTAAAGATAGGAAGATACAAACTTCACCATTGTATCTTTACTATAGTCTTTACTATAGGAGAACGAACTTAATTTACTGTAAATCACAAACTGGAATTGCTGGAGGACTGCGTGAAGTGGAACTCTGCACATGTGTATGTATGCAGAAACATCTGCGGTTTTGAGCTTAAATAAATGAACAATAAGATACTGTAGTAGATGAAGATAAATTAGTAAATTATCTTACTGTTCTGTGTTAATTGTGATGATTTTGTAATATGAATTATGTTTAATCTTACATTGACTGTTTGAGTCTGTTGTAGATTTGCGTTTTCCTATTGTTTAAAATACCACCAAAAGGACAACATGTTGTTCGTTGAATAACATTAATACTCTTACTAAAATTCAAAGAAGAGAACGTGCTATTACAACCTATACCAATGATACCAACAGAAGTGCCTTTCCAATTCAAATTACTACCATTTTCCAATTAAACTGGCTTGTGCAGTAGTGATAGACAAATCACAACGTCAATCATTGCTGTTATGTGGATTTAATTTGGAGGATCCGTGTTTTCTCATGGATTCTATAGTTGGATTTGTTGTTTGTATACATGCCAAATGGAATCACCAAAAACGTTGTATATCCAAGAGCATTGCTATGAATTTAACGTTTAGTACAACAATAATTACAATTTAATACAATGTAATCCAAAAGAAAAATAAAATTGCATGTGTAAGTATCTAATATGATGATTAAATACAATCATTCATGTGAAACATTCAATTGTGTTCATTTAATTTATATAATTATGCTCCTAAGAAAATATAAGATGTGTACTCAAAATATGTGTTAAATAACACTTTTTGTTACCGCCCTGGACAAAGCCGGGTTATAAAGCAAGTGATAAATAAATATAATACCTGATTCAAAATTAGGTGCTCCGTTTTTAGAAACTCATATTGCCTGATGGCATTGCTTAATGATGATGTCACCTGAGTGTAGCTAAACGCCCTCGGATTGATAGACCGAATTTACATATATATATAGAGTCCACATTTTATAGCAGTGATGTATTACTATTATTTATCTCAATTGTAATGATGGGGAATATTGTATTGGGTGATTTTAAAAAATATTCGGTTTTCATTTAAACCTTTATTGTTCCTAGAACAGTCAGTAATTGGTTTTATGATGGTATCATTCCTGGGCGATACTATTTTGTAATCCATCAAAAATTCTCATCTTTTTATTCTTAAACAAATATCTGCCCAGATCAAGACAGAAATTTTTGATTATCTTGGAAGAAAAATCTTCTTTATTCACTAATGCAGGTTGATTTCCTTTAAACGACTTTTAATCGGTTGAGTAGCTATTATTCCACGTAATTATACATTTTTGAAGGAAGAATTCATTTTCAACAGATTCCCTGATATTCACAGGAGTGAATAATAAGATTTTTCTTTGGACATCCAGGAGAAACAGAGAGAATACTTTAATATCTGGAAAAATTTTCTTTTACCCTATTTTGAGTCATATGAATTTATTTCTTTAATAATTAAATTTTCGTATATTAAGCCGGTTTTCCTGGAAGATATTATTTCTTTTATAAAATTAAGAATTCTTCTCAGGGGTATGGTATCAAAATTTGCGTGGTTCCAAACGGTTTTCGCAGGTATTACAGCCTTTTTCTAGCAACTGCAGTGCGATAGTCCAATTTTCTAAGGCGTAAATATGACAGTTTTTACTTGCTATTTCCATTGAGTTGTTTTTGCGAGTAGTCTTTTGGCTTGTCTCATGCCCGATCTTTGCTCCCAGTAGTTGTTGGGTTCTTTAGACACCAAAGGTTCCATATAAATGATGAATGATGGAGTTAGTGCGGTGTTCAATCCTTTTTAAAAAAGAAAGTTCCTACTCACAGTAAGTTGTTTTCCAACGATCCGGATTTCCAGTTTTTATTAGTGATTATCTTATATATCTTATCTTTTTATCTTTTATCTTTAATCACTAATTTATAATTAATTTCTTACAGAATTTACTATTATAATATTTACTTGTGTTATAATTCCCGCTTTCCGCACGTTCAAAATTAAGCGGCATTAAAAACCAGCTTCTCATTGGAACGGCGCGTTGGCGGGGTGTCTGCTGGTTCAGTTTTGCAATTCATGTCGAGAGACTGATTGTAGAACTCCTTCAACCTGATGATGAGCTAAATGCTCGAAATCCGGATCGTTGGAAAACAACTTACTGTGAGTATGAACTATCTTTTTAAAAAGGATCAAAGATTCCAGTCATCTTTTAATGTGGCTATAATTTATACTACAATATTGATTTGGAACTATGGGCTGTATCGAGGATCCTTTCTTAGCAAGTATATCTGCTGCCTAGTTACCTGTGATTCCCTCATGATTTGTGACCGACTAGTTAGACCATTTGAAGATCCCAGTTTTTTAGGGGATATCAAAGCAGCTAGGCTAGTTCAGCTTGAAGTTGGTTGTGGTGGAGTAAAAGACCATGTGATGCTCATAGTTATGCCCATTCCCGACCATTTCCTCTTCATATTATAACGTCGTATACTACTACCTAATATTTCCCACAACCCCCCTCTCTTGTTCTCTGAACAATTAGGTATAAACATCTAATTTGACGAAAATATATAAGGACTTGTCAAATGATGATTTTCGTCAAATTAGATGTTTATACCTAAGTGCCCAAAACTACGACAAGTTAATTTACTCTAGACGCCTTTTGGGTTTTTTTTTTTTTTAGTCCAAGGTGTAGGGCATTTTTTTTCTTTTTTTACTCGGGGTTTTGCTGGTCGTACAATAAGAAGCTTGTCTGAGGATTAAGTGCCTTGCCATTTAAGTGTTGTTGCCACAACGGCCCTTTAACGATATCATCTCGGTTGTAGTTTCATTTTGTTTTCAGACCGGTTTATTCGACCCTGTTTTTCGGTTCAAGTTGCAATTTCTTAAGTTGTTCTTTTTAGTCCTTAGCCTATTAATTTTTATAATTTCATTTAACTTTATTATGTTAGGATAATACAGATTTCACTATTTGAATATTTAATCGGGTTTGCAATACTATAGTTGGATATACTTATATTTAGAAAAATTGATTTCTTTTATAATAGTAACAGTGCCTTCCTAATATACTGATAAAGATAAAATAAACGTTATTGGAGAAATCATCGCGTTAGCAACCCAGCTATTTGAAAATATTGGAAATCGTTTCACCACAAACTGCCCAATAAAATAATTCCAGTGTATACATAAAATCCATTATATCCGGGCCGTAATGGAGATTGTATATCCATTATAAATCCCAAGAACAGGATCCGCTTGAAGATTAAGAGAACGGCCTTTGGGACGTTTATAATGCCCCATATATAACAACATTATAGTCAAACTATTGTTTATAAATCTTAACGTTATTGCGGAGCCAATGGAGAATTGGGTTTAATTGTAATGATTATATGCTAATTGACAACAAGATAATTATCACAGATAATAACTATTTATGAATACCATAAAAATCGGACATCGAATTGAGTTTATAAAAGTGGTATTATATAATTACATTGTAGATCAAACCTGAATTATTAATTAAAAATATAAGTATCATATATCTGTATATATTTGGGATGAGCGGTCAGTGTGAGAGAAAGACGAGCTAATTCTAATCCGGCTTTGCTGAAATATATTTTCCCTTATAATAAAGAAAAAAAATCCTAAATACCTGAGTGAGAAATGTAGAATTTTTTTGCGAGAGTTAGCCCCTATGCCTTTTGATGGGTAAAGCCACAAAAACTTTCTTTTGTAAGGAAAAAGACAAGATTTAAAAGTTACAAAGTGGTCTTATCAAATGTTTTGTTGCGTGTAAGTAAAGGGGGTGTATTTTTTCCGCTAACAAGCCCATATGTACAAAAAGAAAACTTTTCGATCTATAATTATTCAGAAATCGTGAGATGCAGTCTGGTGTGATGTAGGTTTCAGAAAAACATTTTCTTTATCGTGCCAACGTTTCGATCTTTATTGAGATCATCTTCAGGGCTTGGGATTTCCAAACATTGTTTACATTTAACAAATAACAAAAAAAAATTTAGCAAAATCTCACTGGCACTCTCAACACGACACGCAAGAATGACACTATTACACAGAAGACAAACACTTTGAGTGAGTAGAAATACTTTGATTGAATATAAAAAATATATTTTGCATTGTATTAATTCACTTTTT